GTGTAAGTAATGATGAATGCACTAGAGAAGTTGTCTGGGGGATAGAGACATGTTTCCTCTACTTTATTTCATATAAATCATGACAAACAATGACACTACTGATTAATGACAGCCTTTGACAGGTCACAAACAAGACGCTTTCTTGCTAAAAGTTGGCAGCCGTTGCTAAGAAAAGGGGTAACCCGCATCCGTTGCCTAGCGATGTATAAAGTCAATGTAGCAACACGGAAGTTTCCGATCCCTTTCATTTACTCTAATATCTATGTCCCACCCCATATCATTAAGGCCATCCCCCAGAAATTCAATCCTAGAACCGCCCCTGCCAGGCATGCACCTGTCATAGCTACTTAGGTGCTATCAACAGCCTACTAGTAACTCGAGGGGTCCGCAACTCCTATTTTAGGTGTACGAGATTAAGAGATTAACCAGATTTTTGAGATTATCAGAGATTATTTGAGATTATTTGGAAGATTACCAGAGATTTTTTTGAGATTTCCAAAATTTTTTTGGGATTATCAGAGATTTTTAAAGAGATTATTATTAATAACTACTTTATAACTTTTAATATTTATTAATTAAAGTTAGTTAACCATTATAACTACTAATAATTATCAATTAAGGTTAATTAATTTTAATAAACTCCGGATACTAGCAGATATGGTGAGATTATTATGAGATTTTTAAAGATTATCAAGAATTTTTTGGGATTTCCAGAGATTACTGGAGATTTTAAAGATTAACAGATTATTATAGATTATTTTCAAGGGTGTACGGAGTTGCGGACCCCTCCGTAGTAACTATAATACTCAAGCCTGATTAAATAGCTATTGCATTCCTTAAATGCAGTTCCAGACTACCATGACAAACAGACATACATACAATGGTACACCAGGCTACTTGATTACCCGGCCTAAAAATTTTGCAGTAAGGCGCCGCTCATATGATTGATCTGAGTCATAAAAACGATTAGTTTTGTGCTAAAGAAAGTAAGGAGGTTCTTTACAAGACTATAACATACCTGCCTCAGTACAGTAACAGAATGAAGAAAGAATGACCAAATATAGCGAAACAGGAACAGAAGCCATCTCTCTTTGTTGTTATAAGATTGCTATTTATAATAACCATAGATATTAGCGTTAATTTACAGGGATAGGAAACTTCCGATTGCGGTTTTATTATTCCCATTGAGTTTATATTGTAGCCTAGCAACGGGATAATTCTGATGCTCCCTTCCCTTTTTACGCAGCCCAAAAATTAGGCAATTTGCTGTCTGGGCTCAGTGATATTTTCTACTGTCTCTGCCTGATAAAAGCCTTTTCGAAGATTTTATGTTACGTTATTATTGCTCTAGAATAGTGCTTCAATATAAACTGTGATAGACTAGTGTGTCTACTTTATAAAACATCACATCTTCATGAAATGACGGAGAAATTTTTGTTTTGCACTTCGACATCTGTATCTCAAACACATTTCTAAATACTTCATGATTAGCAAGGTAGACCGATTCTACAAGTCAGTAGTCCTCCAGGTCTTCCGCCTCGAAGCAGTCCTGTGCATCACTTTGGTGGTGTTTTACACACAAATATATAAAGCAAATTTGCTGTGTTTTGCTTCTAAACGGCTATCTCAAGAACTGGACGTTCTAGTGCCTAAAGGGCCCCATCTACAGAAAGTCTATAACCTATCCCGGGTCTTCCACCCATTAGCAGTTGCTTTAAAATACTCTAAGTACCTCAAAAAATTTTTGTTTGAGACACATGAAATAAAGTGATGCATTACCAACATTCTAATTTTGAGGAGCCAAATAATAAAATTAACATCAGATAGCTAAAATAAAGGAAGAATATAGACATGGCTCCATTACAAGTTCATTTTCAAGTTGATACAGTGGACCTGAAGAGGCTGAAAGACAATGAGAAAGACCTGCAACATCACAAACTAGCCACTATTGCTCAGTGTAAAAATGAAATTTACTGACAATTAGAAAGAATTAATACGGTATGGGGAGGTAGCTTGATTTCCCGCGAAAGGAAGTTTCCTATCCCTGTAACTCTAATATCTATGCCTCCATTGACTTCCATAACGAGAGCACTAAAGTGCGTACCCTCGACACAATCTGTATGTAACAGTTTTGAGACAGAGAAGAAGCTTCAGCATGTACTAGATTTATTAAAACTTAGTGAATGTTTTGAGACAGACAGAGAATTTTTTTTAGACAAAGAGCTCCAGCATATTTGCTGCACTGCTGCTAGCTGCAGCAATGTAAAGGTGTGGCTGCAATGAAGGTGTGGCTCAATCAAGCCATGCTCCACCCCCACACACAGTAAATGGTGGCACATGGCCCTAAGTGGTGAAAAAAGCTTTGGTTTTTCTCGACTTTTAAACAGTTTAGCACACATTTGTTAGGCTCTATTTGTTGCATACAAACTGCTATCTAGTCCCTAATGTTAGAAGACTCTGGCCGCTACCTCGGGAGAAGAGAGCCTCGTCTAAACTCACAAGATATGAAAGTTTGGGCTATCATATCTTTAAAACGAAGACGATTGGAACAATTCCTCTCATATTAATGAAAGATGAGGCTTTGCTTTATTGTTTTATCTGCCCTGTTGCTCTTTTGCTTTCACTACGAAAGAGCTGCAGGAGAGCCGACTACGTTTGGCGACTTTGCCAGCTTCTTTTACCACGGAAAAGACAAATCAAGGATTTCCAAGACGGAGAATAACTTTTTCTAGAGCCAGTGTTGATTATAAGACTCTCCAGGACAAGACAAGAAAGCAGTGTCAGCTCAAAAGTGGAGGTCAAAGCGAACACACAGACAGGACGACTGCTTTACCCTCGACCAACGCCTACGCGGTCTCGGGTAACGACCAACGCCTACGCGGTCTCGGGTAATAAACTTGCCAACCAAAACGGCGGCCAATTATGATGTGTGGGCAGATACCGTATATAAAATTAATGAAATTCATAACATTTCCAATTCACGCCATAGATATAATATAATCATAGATACTATATACCCCTGGATATGAAACACGGCCCGACCGGATGTTCTGAGGCTTGTTTCACCGGAAATACGTCATATTACGTTTTCATTCAGAATAAAAATAAAACAATGATAAAAAGTATTATTATTGCTAATAAAAGTGTGATTTTATGTACAATAATACAATAAAACTTGACATTAATCATGCATTATAATTGCTGAAACTTTCCTTTTCTTTTAGTATATGCAGTCTACCAATGCATGACTTTCCAATCTCTTGTCACCTAAAAATGATGATTTTGACAACACAATTGCACCAAAACTAAAAATACACTCCTTTTGAGAATAGGCCCACTACAACTACCTATTCTCAAGCTACAAAACCATATAGAAAAAGTTCCAATTAAGTCAAGTATTACAAAGAAAAATTGGCTAGAAAGGTAGGGCTGAAAAACCAAGATTAGAAAATAACA